TGCTCACAGTTTTGGAGGTTGTTAAGTCCAAGATCGAGGCATCAGCAGACTTGGTATCCAGTGAGGGCTTTCTAATTCACACACGGCATCTTCTCGCCATGTCCTCACATGTGCTTGTATGAACTCTTCGTGTATTTAGAAGAGTAAGCCTTTAGAGAATCTTCTCATGACTACAGTAATAGTGTCAAGAACTTACTAGATGCCAGATACACTGTTTAGTATGTTTCATGTATGTATTACCTAATTTAAACCTCATGGTATCCTTGACACAGGATATCTGGTGGTGACGAGTTTAGTCAATTTTGCTGTCAAAGTTCAGCACAGCCACTTCTTCCTGTGACCATTGGCAAAGTATTGCCTCTTCCATCTGAGCCTCAATCTCCTCTTCTGCATATAATGAGGATAATAATTGTCCCTACCTCCTTGTGTTGTTGTGAAGACTGATATGACACATAAACAACATCAAGCAAATAAAAAGTGCTCACGAAATGTGAGTTGCTGCTGTGGTCTTCTTTTCTTCTTCCTGGGTTAACTTAGGCTTATTTTGCAGTTTGACATATATTATAGTATGATGGTAAAGTACAATGCATGCATTGTTCTCCACTCTGATAACAAAAGTTGCTAGGTCCTTTGGCTAAGTGTTCCCTACTCTGAAGTCTTTCCCAATCCTGTGAATCAGTATGAATCTTCCTTCTCCAATGCCTCCAACATCTCGTGTAAATTTCCTTGGGACCTCATCATACAGGACTGTATTCTTTGCACACTTGGCCTCCCTTGTGGACACTGGGATCCTCCATGGTGGAGGTTGTGCCCTAAACTCTTAGACCCCTGCATCTTCTTCAGTTCTCACAGATGGTGACATCTCAGTAGTTAGTTACTCAGTGAAATAATGCACTTTATCTTGAAGATAAAGTTTATGTTAAATTAGAGAATGATTAGCTTCTGTTTTACTAGATAGCACACACATAAACCATTCTTCATATTTGAGTTAAGATCATTTTGAAAGGAAAAAGCTGTTTTTCTTATGTTCTTAATCTGGGAACTGTGCAGGTTTCTTAAATCCTAAGGATACTGTCACCACGTAGTAGGTTGTTGAAGTATACAAATGTGCCAGAAATTATGGACTGTTCTGCTTGTTGCTCAGTATTTATTAAAAGATCAAGTGAATTTTTCACATGTGTGGAACTTCTCAATGCCTTCCACCTTCATGCTCTGTTTCGATGGATGGCAGTGCTGCTAGAGATAAGACCCAAACAAAACCAGGGACCTGGCTCTGTGTGACACTGAGAGTCTGAGGTACAGTTAGAGTTGATAACTGAGGCTTAACAGTCTGCTGTATGTTATTTCAAATTCTCTGAAAAAATGATCTGATCACTGAAAGCTATGACATACTAGCCAAGAAGCCAGCTGTGCCAGGCTGGTGCCAGGGATGGGTGCTGAGGACAGGGGCTTGGCATCCCCAGTTGTTATTCTAGGTGCCCAGGCAGATAAAAGCAGAGGGAGCTGCACCTGTGTGGAATAAGGACCAGGAGAGAATTTTCAGGGGAAACCAAAGAAGCCCCATCTGTGTTCAAGCCCTGGGGATGATTTGGGGACAAAAGTAGAACTTGAAGATGCCAGGCAAGGAGCTCTAGGTGAAGGCAGTCCCAGAAGTAAGATTGTTCAGAGCCTGGGGTGTCCACAGCACCTTCTCGTTGGAGTCCTAGCTTCTGTGGTACATGATGGGTGCGTTGGTTTATGGACGTGCAGCTCTCTGTGGGACTTGGAGCAAATATGTTAAACTCAGAGCTTCTGACTTATTAATCGATGTTTGGACTGGACACCTTCCAGGTTCCAGTCTAGCTGAAACACGCTGTTACTTCGGTTCATTTCATTACTTGATAAGCATTTAACGTTTACATTTTTAACTTGCATTTTTATATTTGGGGATCTTTTCCTAGCTGGTGTTGAAGTGTAGTTCTCATATCCACATATCCATGATACAAGCTAATGATGCTAAAATAACTTTGTAGCAGTTTGCTGTTTACAGGAGTTTGGTTAAGGAACCCAAATTACATTCAGTTAGTATTGTGCGACACTATATAAAAATATTCACATCAGGAAATTAATGTCTTTCATAAAAGCATAACGCTTAGTTCGCCGGGCGCAGTGGCTCACGTCTGTAAGCACTTAGGGAGGCCGAGGTGGGTGGATCACGAGGTCAGGAGATCGAGACCATCCTGGCCAACATGGTGAAACCCTGTCTCTACTAAAATACAAAAAAATTAGCCTGGTGTGGTCGTACATGCCTGTAGTCCCACCTACTTGGGAGGCTGAGGCAGAACTGCTTGAACCTGGGAGGCAGCAGTCGCAGTGAGCCAAGATTGTGCCATTGCACTCCAGCCTGCCGACAGACTGAGATTCTGTCTCAAAAACAAAACAAAAACAACAAAAAAAAACTGTTTTTAGATTGCTCATTTAGGAAAGGTGAGTTCTGGCATAAAGAAGCAGTCCCTACTTTGGGGGAGGCATTAGACTAGGGGCAAAGAGTAAGGGTACCAGAAGTGGGTTCCCAAGTTCACAACCCGAGTCTGCCGCTGGTTACCTCCTGGCCCTGGGTATATCACATAACCTCCCTGGACATTAGCATCCTCATTTGTAAAATGAGGATAAACCCATCTAGGGATGTTGTGAAGATTAAATGAGGTATACATTAAAAACTGTGAGCCCCGTGCTGATGTGGGCATGCACTATCACTGTGGGCTTTGTTGGGGATGAGACATTTAGAAATACGGTATTTTTGTTTTGTTTTGCTTTTTGAGAGAGCCTCACTCTGTTGCCCAGGCTGGAGTGCAGTGGCCCCATCTCAGCTCACTTGAAACCTCGGCCTCCCAGGTTCAAGCAGTTCTCCTGCCTTAGCTTCCTGACTGGCTGGGATTACAGGTACCTGCCACCATCCCTGGCTGATTTTTGTATTTTTAGTAGAGACAGGGTTTCACCATGTTGGCCAGGCTGGTCTCAAACTCCTGGGCTCAAGCGATCCACCCAGCTCGGCCTCCCAAAGTGCTGGGATTAGAGGCATGAACCACTGCACTCAGCCAAAAATACAATATTTTGAGGCAAAGGAATTTCATATCATTATATGCCAGCAGATACAGTGGTCCCCCTTATCCATGGTTTCACTTCCTGTGATTTCAGTTACCTGCAGTCAACAGTGGTCCAAATACATGTGAATGCAGCATAATAATAATTTTGAGAGACCATATTCACATAACTTTAGTTATTAATACAATATATTGTAGTTGTCCTATTTATTGTTGTTATTAATTTCTTACTGTGCCTAATTTATAATTAAACTTTATCATAGGTGACTCTTTATAGGCAAAAAGAGTTTGGTACTGTCCTCAGTTTCTGGGGTCTTGGAACACATCTCCCAGGGATAAAGGGGGACTGCTATTCTTTGGAGTCTGTAGAATTTCAAGTCAGCAATAGAAGTGGTTGGTGCATAGAGGTGAAGTTTTAATTGCAGTAGTGTCTTTCCCCAGTTGGTATACATTTCATGTCCTTACTTTGGTGAACTGTCTTTCTAGAAGCCAGGCATGGTGGCTCACACCTGTAATCTCAGCACTTTGGGAGGCTGAGGTGGAAGGATTGCTTGAGGCCAGGAGTTTGAAACCAGCCTGGGAAACATCGAAACTCCCATCTCTACAAAAAAAAAAAAAAGTAAAATGTTAAAAATTTGCCACATGTGGTGCTGCATACCTGTGGTCCCGTTACTCGAGAGGCTGAGGTGGGAGGATCACTTGAGCCTGGGAGATGGAGGCTGCAGCGAGCTATGATTAGGCCACTGCACTTCAGCCTGGGTGACAAAGCAAGACCCTGTCTCCAAAACAACACCACAAAATTTAGTTCCTAGGTTTAAGTAGGGCAGTTTGAACAATAATGTGTCCCATCGCCAGCCAGCAGCTGTTTCTTGGGTACTCTCTGAGAAAGGGCAGGGTGCTCTGAGTATATAGATGACAGAATGGAAGTCATCACTGCTTTTAGAGATGTAATGATCTCGTTGAAGAGACATCACATCCAGGTTCATGCAGAGTAATGGTCTTCCTTTAGGTATTGTGGTAATCCATTAGGTTAATTATGTGTTTTTACTAGACTTATTAGATAGTGTGTGTCAGTGCATCTACTTCACACATACCTATCAGGGCAGTCCCCTTGCCTGGAGGAGGCTGGGCTGATCTTAG